AGTTTTGAAAAATCTTGACTTCTGTAACCGAAATCTGAGATTTTAATAAAATTCATAGTAATTGCGTTTGTTTTTTTGAGATGGGGAATTTGTAAAGATATTTTGACTTATTCGATTCATTCAAACTATTGCTCTTATAATTGATTATTATAAAACAGCAAATTAAATTATAAAATCTTTTTTTAAAAATAGTATTAACACAAATTTACTATCATTTTCGAGGACCAGTCTATAACACACTTACGCTTTATCTACCCGTCAATATTTCATCCTGTAACTACCCATAATGCAACTCGGATTCTAACTATTCGTTATCTACTCATCTATAACTGTGTTTTTTTAAGCACATGTTTACAATTACTTCTATATCTTTTGACAGCAAATCATCCTTGCATTGAATACTGTTGTCATATATGGTCTGGTACCCGCGCTTTTTATCTCGAAGTCCTCGACAAAATCCACAGACGAATATGCAATGTGATAGGTCCTGATCTGGCATATCGTCTACAGTCATTTTCTTACAGGTCATGATGTGGCTTCCCTCTGTCTTTTCTATAAATATTTTCATGGCAACTGCTCTGACGAGCTACTTTCACTGGTACGCCAATTGCATGAATTTAAGCGTGCTATTAGGTTGGCATTTCGGTCCCAAACTTTCACTGTAGAAAGAGTGAAATGTAACCGCCTCTTCTACTCCAACAGCTTCTTCCCTCGCACTTCTCGACAGTGAAACTCCCTTCCTCCTACTTGTTTCCCTGATAGCTATAATCTTCAAATATTAAAATGTAATGTCAATCGACATCATCTGATGCCTGGATTCTGATCCTCATCCTTCTCTATATCCTTTCCTTAACCACCCCTCTTTACTCTTGCTCTCAACCCCTTGTCTGCTAGTGGTACTCCCGCCTTTTTCGGTGAAATTCTTAAAAATAATTAAATTAAGTTCTGAATTACGTATAAGCCGGAGAGCGCGTATTCTTATTTAATACGATTTCTCCAACATTCAAGCAGGTAGACAAATATAAATAATTATACTGTTTAATAAATAAACGGAGAGTCATCACAAATATGAGTATCCAATAAAAAAAAACGTTTAAAGTCATAAAAATCCGTCGGATTTATAAATAAATATTCATTACTTTAGAAGATTATTTTACTTACGTTGGGATGCGAAACTGTGCAGATATGAAAATTTCGTGGAATTTATGGCGAGAAGATTTTGCTTAACCCATTACCTGCAATGAACCCCATTTGGGGATCTGTTAAAATTAAACTCACTACATGTTATTCCTTGTATTTACATTGAATTGCTTACATACATTGCATTTTCAGAGGTATATTTTACAAGACTTAGTCTTTAAAGTTTTTATTATTAGCCGTAAGAAAAAACTTTCTGTCGTAATTTTACATTTCACGAGTAGAAAAATAATGACTATTTTGAAAAGTATTTTTTATTTCTAATCAATATTATTTTTTGATGTTTTATACACATATATATTTGATGTTCTAGTTTCTATAAGAACGAAAATGGTAACCACTGAAATTAAGCATAAGGAATAAATAAACTCTTAAGACACCTGTCTGGGCCAAAAATGCGCATTAAAAAAATTTGACAGTTAATGGGTTAAGACACTTTGAATTTAATGACTGTTTCTCTCAGAATCCTAGCGGAGAATGCGTATTTTTTTTATTTTTTATTTCTTGAATGTTCAGGCCAGGAGACGAAAATAAATAAATATACTGTTTGATAAATAAAAGGGGCGTCTACTCAAATATAAGTATCCACTAAAAATAACGTTTAAAATATCCCAGAAATATTTTAGTCCCAGTAAATTAATTACATTATAATTACTACAGTGGTTGAGGCACGGTGGAGCAATGAATAAGCGTCTCAGATTGGGGAATCGGAGAGCCGAGTTCGAATACCAGTACATACTCTTGGGAAAGGTATGAATCCCCTTCTTCTCCCACCCCACCAGCTATGAGTAAATAACAGCACAGACCAGGGGGATGGCAACTGGTCTATCGCAGAAAGAAATGGCAACCTACTGCGGGAAAAAAAATCTGCCTCGTCAGTCATGTATCGAAAGATACATGATCGCCTAAGCGTGTATCACGCATAACTGAATTGCCCCTAATGTGAATATCACTCTATAACGGTTTTACGTTCCGAAATTGATTCCACGCTTGGTGTGAATTGCATTTTATCCTGAAATGAAAAAGTAAATGTCATTAGATTAAAAATAACGTTGTTTTTGTAGATCCTAGAAATGTCCACTTGCTTCGATTTTCCAAAGTTATGAAAAATAATCCAAGCACTCAGCATTGATGGATTGGGCATGACACATCCACCCTATCCTCTAGTCTTAAAACTTGTCTAAATCACAACTATTTTTAATGTATACTGTTAATCGATAGATTGTTTGCTTTTCTTCTTTTTTTATTTTTTTTGTTTAAACCATTAAAAATGCGAGACTACATCCGGGGCTCTGAAAGGAAATTTTAATCCCTCCCCGCATCCATACTTTGTTTTTAAATCATTCCTTTCAAACAGGATTTTATCTGTGTCCATTGCTTTCTGTCTATCGAGTTCGATTTTACCAACTTGAACAGACTTGAACCGAACATAAGATTTATATCTCACCCTTTAATCTTAGTATCTCGCCTTTATTTACATTATGCTCTCTCTCTCTCCTGTCGCCTTTCTGTTGATCTAAGCGGGTTAATGTCTTCATTTCCTTTTATTTATTTATTTAATTTTCATTTAGGTTGACTTAAAATTATGTTATTAGTTATTGAATTCTTGCTTTGTCGGCTTTTAATTCCGATAAGAGGTCACCGCCTCTCTTGTGTTAAATGTTGTTGTTAATATCTCTCCCCGGTTACACGCACTTTTGTATACGCTTATAGTTACGATAGGTTAGAGCTTGGGAATTCAATTTATATTCTTTCCTCTGCATCAATAATTACACAAGATTTAAATTTTAACAGAGGGATTGTATCTGATTAAACGTTATCACACGAGTAAGAGATCTCATTTTCCGCTGATAAATTGTCACGAAATATTTCGGTTGTTTAAAATAGCATAGAAAGCATAGGAGTTTAATGTTCGACCCGATAACCTTTGAGTACCATCACGTTTTTTTTCCTTGATGTGTGCAGTGTTTATAGAATTTAACAAAAAGACGGCGTTCTGCTGTGCATTCAAATTCTAGTTGTTTTGGGTTTTTTTTTTAATGTGCCGAGAATTTTAAACATACATATATAAATGCAGCGTGGGCAAAGAAATTAAGACTGCATAGTGACTGCTAGTTTTCACAATTTAAGTGATCATCGGGCTACACATACGTACACACATATGGAAGACACTCCCGTCGTTTTTTGACGCATGAGCGCCCAGCATGTCAGTTATTAGAACCAAAAAGCCAAACTACCCGTATATATGGTTTGATGATAGTGGTAAAGACCTGTACAGAACGGACCACATTTTCGTTGAAAAAGCCGAATACGGAGGACATATTGAATTCAATAGGGACAGAGGAAATCTGCGCATAACTTACCCAACGAGATTGTGCAAATAGTTGAGAGAACAGGGGTTAGGAGAGATAGCATAAATTTTAAAAGAACAGAAGAACAGGAAACTGAACAGGATATTGAACAGGAAATTGTGGAGAGCCATGATCATCAAGGGACATGACACAAAGAAGAAGAAGAAGAAATCACAGAATGTGCTGAAAGAAAATATTAGTATACGATACAGTCACCCATGGTTATACAAAATGAAGAAATTTACGACAAACTAAAATTCTCAACAAAAACTGACACACCTTAACACCAACATCTCTAAATTATTAGTAGTTTATTTGCTGCTATTATGATCTTAAGCTTATGCAAAAGTTACCAGTACTTCGTATTTTATAAAGAATTCTGTCTGAATTTCTGGGATAAATAGTTTTCATTATTTCGTTATTTACATTCGGACTAATATCCTCATGTTTGTTTTGCGATGACAAAGTTTATGTCCAACGGCCTTCTTTAGGTATTTGATTTCTCTTTAAATAAATTGAACAATGGGAGGAGAAAAGTCTACGTTTGCAGACCATATAAAATTCTGTTCAATCTTATAAGAATATTACTGAAAGCGACATACACACTTAAGCAATCATGTATCCTTCGATACATGACTGATGAGGGAGATTTTTTTTCCCGCAGTAGGTTGCCATTTGTTCTGCGGTAGACCAGTTGCCATCCAAGGCTGTAGAACCAGGTCTGTCCTGTTATTTACCTAAAGCTGGTAGGGCGATTCATACCTTACCCACGTAAGTGAATGTAATGGATTCGACATGAATTTGAACTCGGCTCTCCGATTTATCAATTCAAGCCGCTATCTATTACCCCACCGTACCTCCTATTGTCATACATCTCACGAATAGAAGTAGGTACAACGGCTGATATAATGTGCCAATAAAGATCACTGAAGACCACAATGTCAGTACTAGTGGCTTTAAACGTATCAATATATAATAATCACTCGTTTCTTAAACCTCTTGAAAAAATTTAGGTCCTACTCGTTTTAGGTACACTTAGTTTAAAAAAAATTGAAATCCACCAGCTCTTTAATTGTTTTTCTTTTTCAAGAACCGGAAACCGATAAGTTTTCATGTTGCTAGCAACGTTTTAGTAGTTTTAACACGATACAAAATTTGTACGTGCCCTTAATAACATTTTAAAAAATGACAATTTTGCTTTTTATTCTTTTCAGGAAAAAAATTTCCAGTAGTGAATGTTGCGACAAAATCTTTTTTTCCGTTTTTAATCCCGGCCCTGTGACTCCTTTGACTTTTAATCTTCTCTAATTAATCTCCAACTAATTATTCTGTACCCTGATTAATGTTTTTGATAAATTAACCACCCCCCGTGCCAAAATTCAAATTTGATGGATAGTATTGCTGAAGACATTGGAAAAATAATTACTGCATCAGTTATGAAATGCATCATACATGATTGGTCTGACGTTGAAGAAAGAAAGAAAGAAAGAAAGAAAGAAAGAAAGAAAGAAAGAAAGAAAGAAAGAAATGGAAAACTAATACGTAAAACTTGACAGACAAACATACATACATACATACATACATATATACAGAAAGAAAGAAAAAAAGAAAGAAAGAAAGAAAGAAAGAAAGAAAGAAAGAAAGAAAGAAAGAAAGAAATGGAAAACCAATAGGAAAACCTGACAGACAAACATACGGAAAGAAAGAAAGAAAGAAAGAAAGAAAGAAGGAAAGAAAGAAAGAAAGAAAGAAAAAAAGAAAGAAAGAAAGGGAAACATGATATGAAAGACGTGACAGACAAGTTAAAAAGGCAGAAATAAAGAAACAAGTAAAGAAAGAAACAAAGAAAAATATAAAACCAAAAGAAAGAAAAGAAAGAAATGGAAAACTAATAGATAAAACTTGACAGACAAACATACGGAAAGAAAGAAAGAAAGAAAGAAAGAAAGAAAGAAATAGAAAACTAATACGTAAAACTTGACAGACAAACATACGGAAAGAAAGAAAGAAAGAAAAGAAAGAAAGAAAGAAAAGAAATAGAAAACTAATAGATAAAACTTGACAGACAAACATACGGAAAGAAAAGAAAGAAAGAAAGAAAGAAAAGAAAGAAAGAAAGAAAGAAAGAAAAAAAAGAAATGGAAAACTAATAGATAAAACTTGACAGACAAACATACGGAAAGAAAGAAAGAAAAAGAAAGAAAGAAAGAAAGAAAGAAAGAAAGAAAGAAATAGAAAACTAATAGATAAAACTTGACAGACAAACATACGGAAAGAAAGAAAGAAAGAAAGAAAGAAAGAAAGAAAGAAAGAAAGAAAGAAAGAAAGAAAGAAATAGAAAACTAATACGTAAAACTTGACAGACAAACATACGGAAAGAAAGAAAGAAAGAAAGAAAGAAAGAAAGAAAGAAAGAAAGAAAGAAATGGAAAACTAATACGTAAAACTTGACAGACAAACATACGGAAAAAGAAAGAAAAAGAAAGAAAGAAAGAAAGAAAGAAAGAAAGAAATGGAAAATAAACGTAAACTTGAAGACAAAAACGGAAAAAATAAAAAGAAAGAAAGAAAGAAAGAAAGAAAGAAATGGAAAACCAAAGAAAAAACCTGAAATGGACAAACATAGGAAAAGACAAAAAGAAAGAAAGAAAAGAAAGAAAGAAAGAAAGAAAGAAAAAGAAAGAAAGAAGGAAAGAAAGAAAGAAAGAAAAAAAAAAGAAAGAAAGGGAAACATGATATGAAAGACGTGACAGACAAGTTAAAAAAGGCAGAAATAAAAAACAAGTAAAGAAAGAAACAAAAGAAAAATATAAAACCAAAAGAAAGAAAAAGAAAGAAATGGAAAACTAATAGATAAAACTTGACAGACAAACATACGGAAAGAAAGAAAGAAAGAAAGAAAGAAAGAAAGAAATAGAAAACTAATACGTAAAACTTGACAGACAAACATACGGAAAGAAAGAAAGAAAGAAAGAAAGAAAGAAAGAAATAGAAAACTAATAGATAAAACTTGACAGACAAACATACGGAAAGAAAGAAAGAAAGAAAGAAAGAAAGAAAGAAAGAAAGAAAGAAAGAAAGAAAAGAAAGAAATGGAAAACTAATAGATAAAACTTGACAGACAAACATACGGAAAGAAAGAAAGAAAGAAAGAAAGAAAGAAAGAAAGAAAGAAAGAAAGAAAGAAAGAAAGAAAGAAAGAAAGAAATAGAAAACTAATAGATAAAACTTGACAGACAAACATACGGAAAGAAAGAAAGAAAGAAAGAAAGAAAGAAAGAAAGAAAAAGAAAAGAAATAGAAAACTAATACGTAAAACTTGACAGACAAACATACGGAAAGAAAGAAAGAAAGAAAGAAAGAAAGAAAGAAAGAAAGAAAGAAAAGAAAGAAAGAAAACTAAAGAAATAGAAACAAACTAATAGAAATGGAAAACTAATACGTAAAACTTGACAGACAAACATACGGAAAGAAATAAAGAAAGAAAGAAAGAAAGAAAGAAAGAAAGAAAGAAAGAAAGAAAGAAAGAAAGAAAGAAAGAAATGGAAAACTAATACGTAAAACTTGACAGACAAACATACGGAAAGAAATAAAGAAAAAGAAAGAAAGAAAGAAAGAAAGAAAGAAAGAAATGGAAAAAAGAAAAGACAGAAAGAAAGAAAGAAAGAAAGAAAAAAGAAAGAAAGAAAGAAAGAAAGAAAGAAATGGAAAACTAATACGTAAAACTTGACAGACAAACATACGGAAAGAAAGAAAGAAAGAAAGAAAGAAAGAAAGAAAGAAAGAAAGAAAGAAAGAAAGAAAGAAAGAAAGAAATGGAAAACTAATACGTCAAACTTGACAGACAAACATACATACATACATACATAAATACATACATACATACATACATACATAAATAAAGAAAGAAAGAAAGAAAGAAAGAAAGGGAAACATGATATGAAAGACGTGACAGACAAGTTAAAAAGGCAGAAATAAAGAAACAAGTAAAGAAAGAAACAAAGAAAAATATAAAACCAAAGAAATAAAGATAAAATTGATATGTAAAACAGAAAGAAAGAAAGAAAGAAAGAAAGAGAGAAAATAGCCAAATTTGGCAACCTATTATGGCATGTATTAACATCAGCTGATTAATATTTCCTCACTAAGTGCTCTGTTAATGAGGCCTTGTATCAAAAGGAAAGAAAGAAAGCAAGAAAGCAAGAAAGAAAGAAAGAAAGAAAGAAAGAAAGAAAGAAAGAAAGAAAGGGAAACATGACATGAAAGACGTGACAGACAAACAAACAGAAAGAAACAAACAACCAAGAAAAGAAAGAAATAAACGAAAAATCCTACAAACAAACAAAAAAACAAACGGAAAATTTATATGCAAAATGTGACAAACAGAAAGAAAGAAAGAAAGAAAGAAAATAACCAAATTATTCAACCTCTTACGGCATGTATTAACATCAGCTCATTAATATTTCCTTACTCAACGCTCTGTTAATTTTCTAATTGTTCTAATTCAGCAAATCTAATTCTAGTAAAAAATAGAACATACAGATATCTAAAAAAAAAAAAAGCTGCTATATCGCTTATTTTTTAAAACTGACCAAAAGACTATATTCTTAACTTATATTTTAAGTCTTACCAGTTCGGATAAAAGTAAACAAGGAGCTGATCTACAATTGAGAAAACAGACCAGCAGATGCCAACAGATATCAGAAATGTCTCGAATAATTTGACTATTTTTTTATATGAGTGGCTCATATAAAAACTCATGTAAAGTGGACAACCTTTATATATTGTTCTTTCGAAAATGTAAGACTGATTCTAATTATTAGATCTAAACGTATAGCTGAAATATTTGAACAAATATATTAATACATTTTGTACGAATTACATAGTTGAGTCTGAAGTAAAATCTTGTGGGTGGCGATTAAGGAAAAATTATATATCTAGTTTTTTATTCAAATGCAGTATATACCATTTAATGTTTTGTCTTCTTTTAAGGCGTGGGGAATCATCGTACTACGCAATTCCTCAGAAGAGACGAGGCAACATAAATATGGTACGAGAAGAGAATGCTGAGAATACCGTGAATTGGATATGCGTGTTAACTAGAAAGTTTTAAGGAAAATAAAACAAAATGAACGCTTATTTATAGAATCAGAAAGAGACAGTTGAAATTTCTAGGACACATAATGAGGAAAGAGGACTTGGATAATTTAACACTCACAGGACATATTGAAGGCAAGTGGAACAGAGGAAAGCAGTGAATAACATACCTAACATGCTTATAGAAGTGGGTGGCAGAACAGGAAGTTGGAGTGAAAAGACACGGCATACAAAGAGTTACAAAGAAGAAGAGGTTGTGGGGAGCCATAGCCGTCCACATCCCGAAGGGACATGACTCAATAATAATAATAATAATAATAATAATAATAATAATATCTGTTCCATCAGATAAGGAGAAATTGAAAGAATATAAATAACCAGGACATTACGAATGAACTGGAAAGAATATGGAATTTGAACTGGTTCACCTCATAATATTACAGTTGGAACAGTCTACAAAAGCTTTCCAAAGGCGAGAGATAAAATGTAATTAGAGGAAGAATTGAAAACATCCTCTAAGAATTATTACTAATTCCAGTCATTATTATTAGAATTCTGGAATATGGAGAAGAATTGTTGTCCCTTGATCTCTAATAAAACCATTTAATAACTACTGGTGGGTAGCCGCAATAAATAGCACAGGACTAAAATCTAGCAAGCAGAAAATATCAGTATAAAATTATCAAAAATGATGTCAGCCCCCTATACAGAATTTATGGCTTACTTTCAGAAACTACTGACCATTTGTCTATATTTTTGAGATGGGGTATTATGTACACTATTTACATTATTCGGACTATATTCCTCATCTTTGTCGCCATGTTTATCACAACGCTTCGGCCGTTGTACACTCTGGCCTTCTTCAGGTGGCTGGAATGTCGGACTGAACCCTTTATTCCTCTCACTGAGGTAAACTATTCTAGTTTCACGTGCCATGTTTAATGGGTGTCACTTATCTCCTGTTAATTCCGCTCTCAAATTTCTCCACCGCCTTAACCAGGTATTGAACTCACACTCTTTGGGTTCTGTCACTGGATCTTACTAACGCCTTTATCCACTGTGCCATGTGTCCTCAAGCTGAAACGTAATAAATATGGCGACAAAGATGAGAAAAATAGTCCGAATAATGTAAATAGTGATTTATTTTAGTCTTCAATCAAACATGCATCGACGAAATATTGCTGCACTAACATATACTTATAAGTTATTTTGGTGTACAATTCCATAAACAAGTTACCATGTAATTAATTAGCATACTTTAACATACATTCCTGGTTTTATTAAATATTGTCACACGTACATGCCTCTCATATTTGTTCGGAATTGGGATTCCTGGTTTTCACATTCTATTATTGCAGAAGAAAACTTAGAGAAAATGCTTTTACCGAAATTCTTTCCATGACCACGAACAAAACCATTTATCTTCACAGAAATACATAATTTAGAACTTTACTAAGATATTTTCTGTGTACTATGTAATAATATAACAAAAATTACAGCTAGAAAATTTATATATGACCTTGAGGAACGGCCGAAACGTTGTGATAAACAAGGCGACAAAGATCCGAATAATGTAAATAGTGTACTGACCATTTATTGCTATCTTGTACTCTCTTAGACCCAACAGAACACCTACCATGTCATGACAGAAAATGATAATATATGGGCAATATATGGCAAGTACAAACGTGAAAGAATTAATTGGAAGACAAACAAATTCTGTATTTGTGCTGTGGAATTTTCCACTCCAAACAGATAGCAGAATAAAAGCCAATAAGCCGAATATAATTGTAAAAGATTTACTAGAAAAAGTGTGGTATTAATACCTATTGATGCAAATATTTCAGTCACTGCGTTCAACAAACTAGATAAATACAAGGTTCTAAAAATTGAAATTCAGAAAATGTGGTATCTAGAAAAAATACCAATTGTCATTGATGTACCAGGAACCATAACAAAAATATGAAAAACTATGTTTCTTAATTACCTGGGGAAACGAGTGTGTCTGAAATGCAAATCGCACTTCTGGGTACTTTTTACATCTTCAGTAACGTTTTATGAATTTGACAGGTTATAGACATATGCTACTGACTTTTGCTTGGAATATTCTCATATATTCGCAGACACCGACACGTTTTGCAATTATATATTCTTCCTATTTTGAAGACTTTTTTGGGGTTTATTGAATTTTACACCTTTAACATAGTTTTAGTTTTTAAGGCTCTTAATTTAACACATTTTAACTGTATATACATTTCCTGTGCATCCACAAACACATCTTAATGATAGTTTAAACTGTTACAGACAATTATACAACATCATACAATTGAGAAAAATTATGCTGAGCTACATCTTCAACCAACTGGATAAACATTCATACTCTGTTGACTTGCAGTCTCTTGATGTTTCGGGGTGAAACTTGGAGGCAGTTCGTAAAACAAAAGCAGCCGCAAAACGTAATAATAATAATAATAATAATAATAATAATAATAATATGAGTAAACTATCAACATACAAGGATCTTGAAGTGAAAAGTCTCAAAAATGTGGCACATGGGGATATCAATAATTCTAGTTGTAGTTGAAGCCCTTGGATCGATTTGAATAGGTTCCAATAGACGCAATAAAGGGATCCCTGGTAACCCACGCCTTAAAGAAATTTAAAAAAATTGTACTCACAATTACAGCTCACATATTACGAAGAACTTTATCTATATAAAATGTGTGTGATCTTAGGGATTTTTGTTTTTTACAAAAATGATCAGGGGAAATATCATGAAGCCATTTTTGACCTTAGGTTTCTAGTTGGGACCCGCATGGAAATGTGTATACAACAGAAATCAATAATAATAATAATAATAGCCTAATCCTAGATCGTGTACAGCTCTTATGTCTTCTGATCTTAATTGATCCGCATGCTTCACCGATTTCAGGTGAAGCAAAATTGAAAAGAAAACAGAGTTAAATGAGACTATTTCAGGCATATAAAAAATTCTCAAAAGGAAATTAAATGGTGAAAATATCATCAAAAGAATTAATACTTTGGCACTCCCTCTGTTGCTGTGCTATTCTGTAGCATTCTTGGATTGAAATGCTGCTGCCTTAGAAGAAGATAGACTTAGATCGACATAACTCGAAAGTTAATGAATATGCATAGGGCTCTGAATTCAAGCCGTGGTGTCAATAAGTTTTATATTGCGAGGGTTGCATAAGGCGGATCAGTGTCGAAAAGTTGTGTCATTGGATATTCTTGGATTTAGAGTTACGTTAGACGTTCTAATGCACGGAGAATGGATTGGAATCTAGAAGAACAAATTGTTGAGCCAGGAACTGCAACAAAGAAGCAACGAAAGGAGAAACGGCAAGTCAATGTGAGCGAAAATGCTTCATGGTCAGTTATTTTTTTAACTGCTGGACCTGAATATCGCTTTAGATGAAAGATGATTCTATAAACACAGAAGCGGAGTCACTTATATTTGAAGCACAGGGGCAGTCCATCAGAACGAATTCAATCAAAGCCAAGAGAGAAAAATCGCAAGAGAAAAGCAAATGCAGGATGTGTGGACAGACTGTTGTGATATTTAACCACATACTCAATGAAAATCAAGGTTGGTAGAGAAGGAGTATAATCGACTATATGATTTGTTTAGTATGAGAGAGAATCCATTAAGTATGTCAAATTCGAAAACTAAATAGGATAGCAGCCAGAGTCAGTGGTAGAAAATATTATGAGATTCCTCTGTCTAGAACTGTCGTGTCTCTTAAGCACGAAAACTCAACCCTATTTTGATAGATAAGGAAAGTAGTAAGTGTCAAATAAATGATTTTTCTGTTCTATATGATACAAGAGTGTACTCCAAAGTAACTGAAATTAAAAAGTACCAGGATCTGTCTCGGGAGTTGAAGCTGTGGAGTATGAGTGTTGAAGTAAGTCCTGTAGGAAATTTGCATTGAGACCAACAGTGTAGGCTTCCAGAAAACGGATATATTTTAATCGGATAAAAATCTCTACAATGTCTTTGAGTCATGGGGAGTCTTATTGGCACCATGCCCCAGAATTTCAGTTGATTACGTGAATGTGCGATACAAACATAATCATAATAAACGCCATGATGCTAATAGAAGTATGGCTCTCATGGCTTCTGATCTTAATTGGCTGAAGGTGTTAAAATATACGTGTTTTTTTTTTCTTGGGCAATTAAGGTGAGTTACAGTAAATAACCCTTTCAGAACTATAAGTTTGTTTCTTATATGCCTGGTTTTAAACAGTTGAGCATGTCCCGTAAGGGATGATATGCATACAGAGGTAAGAGGTATAATGGCCGGTATCGTGAGGGTTAATTTCAAGATTGACACATAAAGTGGAGTGAGCCACAACTAAATATTGTGTACACTCTAAATCTGAGGCCGTCTGAGCGGGTTGGGTTACTTGATCAGAAGGGCATTTATTATTGCACTCCCGCGCTAGGTTATACACTGCTTTTATCAAAAATTTCTCTATAGCGCGCACATTTGGCTGTGATGCATGTGCTTTGTATACCCTTATCAAACTGAGTACAAAGTTGGATATATTTTGACCCAGCCTCTTTGACATCGTCCTCCTATCTCACTCAGTAATAATAACTATAAGACACTCATACTAAAATAGTTACTTAGTTCTAGCAGCATCAAACTATTTTCAATATTTTCACAGATTGTAATACAGGGTGACCCCAAAAAACGGGAATTTTGGAAGTGCGTATTGCCAGACATGAAGAAGTGGCAACACTGCGAGACAGTGACCTTGAGCAAGTAAACATTTCTCCATTTAGAATTCAAGATGAAATTCACAGTATCCCAGCTGAAATGTTGCAGCAGTCAATGAGGAATCTCAACAGCAGATTTCAAGAATGCATTCGTACAGGAGAACG